TGCTCATCCTCGAGCAATCAAACTACACTAATAGACACAACCTTTTTAAATAATCCTCCTAACTCATGTCACGACCTAAATCCCGACCCGTCGTGATGGCGCCTATCGTGAAACTAGGCCAGCCTCAACTCAACAATCAACACGATAATAATAAATTTGAAAATATTTACGGAAGCTTTTAACAGTCAAAGAACTATTTGAAGCATAAGAAATTCCAAGAATAGAAATAATCCAGCCCAAAACCGGGGTGTCACTGAGTGCATGAGTGTCTAAGGAAAATACATGGTCTATCATAATATCTAAGGGAGCAACTAAAATACAATTGGAAAATAAGGTGGAGAGCCAAGGCCTGCGAACGCCGTGCAGATACCTTAATAATCTCCTAAGTCAGAAGCCTCGATCAACCACCGCCACTAGATCCAACGTACCTGAATCTGCACACAAGGTGCAGGGGGTAACGTGAGTACACCAACTCAGTAAGTAACAAGTCCAACCTTTGGACTGATAGGTAGTGACGCACTCAATGCACATGCTGTATGAAATGCACCATGATGCGTGCCTCATGTGCCCACAATCTCAAATCCTCGTCCACTCAGTACTGTATATGGCTCATATGGCCCAGGGAAGATCCATCCCAGAATATATACATCTCTGACAGCAGTCACTCGGTACTGAGGAAGGCCATTCCAGCCTATGAGAAGATCCATCTCCAGATAATAATAATAACAACCTCACAACCACTCGGTACTGCATATGGCTCACAAGGCCCAGGAAAGATCCATCCCGGAATATATACACATCACTGACAATAGTCATCCAGTACCGAGGAACATGCCAACCAGCCTCATGGAGAAAACCATCTCTATACCAAGGGAAGATCCATCCCTGAATATAAACAATTGCGCTCACTGGGGGTGTGTTGCAGACTCCGGAGAGGCTCCTACAGCCCAAGCGTTATCATAATCATCAACATAACCGCTGCGGCGTGCAGCCCGATCCCATAACTGTCAGTCTGTCACTCACAATCAGACGCTCGGCCTTACTCAGTCATCACTCTCCAGTCTCACACACACAGGCTCACAATGTCATGAAACAAGCCCGAAACAATGATATGATGTGCCAAATAATAATAACTGAGACTGAGACATGATATGATATGCATGAGCAAGACTGAGTAAAGAATATCAATGAATGTAATGAGATGACAGCAAGAAACGACCACTCAGGTCTCAGCAGTATCGGCGTGAAGCCCTAACAGGGTATCTAGCATGTTTTTACAGCGCATTTACTTAATCACATGATAGAAACACGGATACCAACAAGAAAGAGTTACTAAGCGGTGCCATGAAATGATCCAGGCCGCAATTCTCACGTGCACACCCACACACCCGTCACTTGGCATTTGCACCACCTCAATAGTAATCATAAAACACATAGTTCGGGGTTTCAAACCCTCAGAACCAAGTTTGAAAGCGTTACTTACCTCAAACCAAGCCAAATCCTACTCAGCTACGCCTTTGCCTCTGGAATCGGCCTCCAAACGCTCTGAATCTATTCACAACCATAATAATACCATCAATATACGCTAATGGAAATGAATTCCACAAGAAAAACTATCAAATTAGGCACAAATCCCGAAATCCTCTAAACCCAACCACCGGGCCCATTTCTCGAAATCCGATAAAAGTCACAAAACTAGAAGCCCATTCACTCATGAGTCCATACATACAAAATTTACTCAAATCCAACAACAAAATCTCATTCAAAACCTCAAAAATCCATCTCCAGAGCACTTCCTCTTTTCCCCAAATTTTTCACCCCAAATCACAAATTAGATGATGAAATTGAAAACATAATCATGGGATTTAGCCAAAACCAAGTAAGAATCACTTACCCCAATGTTTTCCTTGAAAAATCTCTCAAGAATCGCCTCTACCCAAGCTCCAATTCTCCAAAAATGGAAAATGGGATGAAGTCCCCTTATTTTATAACTTAAAGTTTCTGTCCAGGCTGCCCGCGGTCTACCCTCGGTCATGGCCTCGATCTTGCCCTCGACCATGGCCTCGATCCTGCCCTCGATCCTGACCACCCCGGTTGTGAACCATCTCGATTATGAACCACCTCGGTCATGAACCACCTCGGTTATGAACCACCTCGATTATGAACCACCTCGGTTATGAACCACCTCGGTCATGAACCACCTCGGTTATGAACCACCTCGATTATGAACCACCTCGGTTATGAACCACCTCGGTCATGAACCACCTCGGTCATGAGCCACCTCGATTATGAACCACCTCGGTTATGAACTACCTCGGTCATGAACCATCTCGGTCATGAACCACCTCGGTTATGAACCACCTCGGTTATGAACCACCTCAATTTTGAACCACCTCGATTTTGAACCACCTCGATTTTCACCACCTCAATTTTTGACAGATGCAGAAAAACCAGAAAACTCACACCAGCAGATATCAGCCATCAACCAAAGTCCAAAAATGATCCGTTAATCACCAGAAACTCACTCGAGGCCCCCGAGACCTCAACTAAACATACCATCAAGTCCCAAAACATCATACGGACTTAGTCGAACCTTTGAATCACTCAAAACAATATCAAAACACCAAATTACACACGGATTCAAGCTTAATGAAACTAAGAACTTCCGACTTCTATATTCAATGCTGAAACCTATCAATTCAAGTCCGATTGACCTCAAATTTTTCCCACAAGTCATAAATGACATAACGAAGCTATGAAAATTTTCAGAACCGTATTCCGACCCCCATATCAAAAAGTCAACTCCCGGTCAAACTTTCCGAAATTCCAACTTTCGCCAATTCAAGCCTAATTCTACTACGGACCTCTAAAACACATTCCGGACGCGCTCCTAAGTCGAAAATCACCTAACGGAGCTAACGGAACCATTAAGATTCAAATCCGAGGTCAAATACTAAAAAGTCAAAACTTGGTCAAACCTTTCAAATTTAAAGCTTCTAGCTGAGACCATTCTCTCAAATCAATTCTGGATAACCAGAAACCAAAATCGACGATTCACATAAGTGATAATACATCGTACGGGGCTAGTCATGCCCGAGAACTTGCGAGCGAAGTGCAAATGCTCAAAACGACAACGGTCGGGTCGTTACAACTCATCACACCAAGAATGTTTAAAATAGACTAAGCACAAGGGTGTAACATCTTTACCTCAAGATTTTACTCACAAGTACCATGCATTGTTTCACAATTCACTCACTTACTCTAACATAGAGGTCAATGACATTACCTTTACTTCATTAATCAAGTGGCCTCACACAACAAAAGAGAGTATTCCACACACAATAGAATTTAAGAACAATTAGGAACTCAAGATAGAAGGAATTCACTCACTCTCAGAAATAACATTCATATGCTAAAAAAGATGCACCATAGGCTTGCCCGTAGTGTACTACTCTACTAATTGAGCTCATACAGTCTTGATCAAGTAGGACTTTCATTGGTTGTAATGTAGGCTGCGGGTCGGGTATGATACATTTGGATATATGAGTGGCTACACCTCCCTAAGTACTTTAATCCATATACTTTAGCATTCAAACCCCCATGCTTATATCAAACCATAACTCCACTTTCACATCAATGTATATTAACTCCATACGTCTTTAAGCACAATTACATCAAGAGTCACCACTATTACGGAATACTTTCACAGCAATACAACTATATTTTTTTTTCTTTTCTTCCTTTTCAATTCAAGTGGCTCTTACTTTTTCAAAAATGTGCATCTTTCTCCTTATTTCATTAGTTCAACTCAAAAGCCACACCAACCACCCCACACTTTAACTTTTATAAAGTTCATAACAATTCAAGTGCTCATGAGAGGTGAAAAGGTTCAAATAGATGATTAATTCAAACACATGGGTAAGTCTTATAATGTGGTTGCCAAAGAAACATGATTACATTGCCAAAACTACTATTTCGTTTTGCAAACACACGAGGCAAGTTCTAGAGATTAAATGCAATGCACAGAATAACATACAAACCTCATGCACACATGGCACATAACTCATTCAGGATTGGACTCATCAAGGCACTCTAGTCAAAGCAGTTAAGCAAATTTAAGATTATACAATTTAAGGTACTTATACAAGAGTCAGAAATTGAGCCTAAGCGTCACAACCAAAGTACTCACTATTCTCAAGTCATAACAAAGTCAAGAGATATTGCTTCAATTCAATTCAAACCACAATGACTCCTCTCCTAAAAAAATAAAACTAACTACACCGGGTTCAAACAAAACCCTTGGAAAAGAACCGCGGCACAAAGAAAAACCAAGGGAGAATTACTACACTACCTACAAAGAAAATCTTTTTGTCCTTTTTCTATAGACTTAAATCCCTCAAGAAAACTGTCTAGGAGATCCATCGTCGAGAAGAGTCCAATTTTTCTATTTTTTTTCAAATTTTTTTTTCCTACTAAAATACTACACAACTACGAAATCACAAATAAGAAGTTAAGATTTTTCTACATCCTATTACTAATCATCTAAAAAATTCTCCCACCCTACACTTAAAAGAGTGGCAGTGTCCCCAATCCCAAATAAAGCAAAACAATAACAAGGGTGGACAAGAAACTCCCTGAAAGGCCAAAGGCCGAAGCAATAGCGGGTCAGGAGGTACTCAAACTTCCCCCAGGCATGGTCCTTTGTGTGGTGCCCCACACTTAGTTCGCACCATCTAACTCGCTTTTGCACTCTTCCAATGGATTTGCTGCCTATGTTTATAATCCTACAAAACAAAAGCAAATACTACAACAATAATAAGATAAAATAAAAAGAAAGAAAGCAGTAAAGCAGGGTTGCCTCCTAACAAGCGTCTGATTTAACGTCGCTGCACGACAAAAAATCTCGTCTAATCATTAGCAAGTAACACTTTCGACTTCTGACTGTCAAATTCACCTCCATAGTAGTGCTTTACTCTTTGTCTGTTCACTAAGAACGTTCTCTAGCCACCTAAGATGCGCAGCTCAATTGCACCATGTGGAGTGACTCTTACTACCTCAAACGGGCCTGGCCATCTTGATTTGAGCTTCCCCGAAAAGAGTCTGAACCTCGAATTGAACAAGAGAACTAATTGGCCCGGTTCGAACTCGCAATGTTGAATATGCTTATCATTCCAGCGCTTGGTCTTTTCTTTATATAACTTGGCATTCTCACACGCATGCAAGCGAAACTCATCAGGCTCGTTCAGTTGCATCAATCGCTTTTTACCCGCTAAGTTTGCATCAAAGTTCAGCTTCTTTATTGCCCAATAAGCCTTGTGCTCTAGTTCCACCGGTAAATGGCATGCTTTCCCATAAACCAACTTGTAAGGGGAGGTTCCGATGGGAGTTTAGTAGGCGGTCCGGTATGCCCATAGAGCATCATCAAGCCTTGCAGCCCAATCTTTCCTACTTGCACTAACCGTTTTCTCTAGGATCTGCTTTATCTCTCTATTTGAGACTTCAACTTGCCCACTAGTCTGAGGATGGTAACCGGTTGCAACTTTATGTTTGACCCCATATTGCGATAAGACATTGTTCAAGAGCTTGTTATAGAAATGAGTACCCCCGTCACTTATCATCACTCTCGGGGTGACAAATCTTGTAAAGGAATGCTTTTTCACAAACTTAACCACAACCTTGGCATCATTGGTAGGAGGATCTATGGCCTCCACCCACTTCGACACATAGTCAACGGCCACCAAAATATACTTACACCCACTGGACGAGGGAAATGGACCCATAAAATCAATTCCCCAAACATAAAAAATTTCAACCTCCATAATACCGTGCAATGGCATCTCATGCCTTTTTGTAATTGTTCATGTTCTATGGCACCTATCACATCTCCTCACGAACTCATGGGCGTCTTTAAACACCCTAGGCCAATAGAAACCCGATTGCAATACTTAGCTGTTGTTTTGACAACCGCACGAGGACCACCATAAGGCGATGCATGACATTCATGTAAGATAGCATTATTTCAGATTTGGGCACACATCTTCTCATTAGCTGACCAATACAAGATTTGAATAGGAATGGCTCATTCCAAACATATGACCTCACATCTCGCAAGAGCTTCTTTTTAGAATAAGGTTCAAGGTCAGGAGACATCTCTCCACTTGCCAGATAGTTCACAAAATCTGCATACCATGGCACTTCCCCGGCAGTAATGGCCAACAATTGCTCATCCGGGAATGTTTCCTTTATGACATTTCCCTCAGCTACATGATTCCGATTTTCTAACTTGGACAAGTGATCAGCCACTTGATTCTCTGTTCCTTTACAGTCTCGAATCTCCAAGTCAAATTCCTGCAAGAGTAAAACCCAACGGATTAGCCTTGGTTTAGCATCTTTCTTTTCAAACAAATACTTGATGGCTGCATCGTCTGTGTAGACGATGACTTTGGTGCCAACCAAATAGGCCAGAAATTTATCGAACGCCCATACTATAGCAAGCAACTCCTTTTCTGTCACAGTATAATTTATTTGAGCGGGAGTGAGAGTCTTGCTTGCGTAGTAAATGGAGTGAAATATTTTGCTCCTCATCTGGCCCAATACGGACCCAATTGCCTCATCACTGGCGTCACACATTAGCTCAAATGGCTCATTCCAATCAGGAGCCACTATGATTGGTGAACTCACTAACTTCTTTTGCAGCTCCTCGAATGCTTTCAAACAAGCATCGTCAAACTTGAATGACACATCCTTCTCTAACAACCTGCACAAAGGAGAGGAAATTTTTGAGAAATCCTTTATAAATCGATGATAAAAACCTGCATGTCCCAGAAAACTCCTAACTCCTTTTACTGAAATCGGTGGTGGCAACTTTTCAATTGCTTCCACCTTAGCCTCGTCAACTTCCAGTCCATCTTTGGGCACTTTGTGTCCCAGCACTATAAAATGGCACTTTTCCCAATTCAGTACCAGATTAGTCTCCTCACACCTGACAATCACTTTAGCAAGATTGGTTAAGCATTTATCAAAAGAAGGACCAAACACAGAAAAATCATCCATAAAAACCTCCACAAATCATTCCACCATATCGGTGAAAATAGCCATCATACACATTTGAAAAGTCGCAGGTGCATTACACAACCGGAATGGCATTCTCTTAAATGCATAAGTGTTATAAGGGCATGTAAAAGTGCTTTTTTCTTGATTTTCCGGGGCAATAGCTATCTGATTATACACCGAATAACCGTCAAGGAAACAATAGAACTCCTGACCGGCTAACCTGTCAAGCATTTGATCAATGAAGGGTAGAGGGAAGTGATCTTTTCGTGTAGCATTATTCAACTTCCTATAGTCGATACATATTCGCCAACCAGTCATAGTTCAAGTAATGATTAATTCATTTTGTTCATTCACTACAATAGTCATACCCCCATTTTTAGGCACACATTGAACAATGCTTACCCACTTGCTATCAAAGACAGGAAATACTATACCGGCGTCGAGCCACTTAATTACTTCTTTTCTTGCCACTTATTTCATGATTGGATTGAGGCGGTATTAATGCTCCATGCTAGGTTTGTGTCCCTCCTCCATGAGTATTTTGTGCATGCAGAATGCAGGGCTAATACCTTTTATGTCAAACATTGTCCAACCAATAGCATGTTTGTGCTCCCTTAGCACCCTTAAAAGCTTTTCTTCCTACAATTCAGACAAATGAGAAGAAACAATCACAGGTAAAGTGTTAGAATTTCCTAAATATGCATAATGAATATGAGATGGTAAGGATTTAAGTTCCAATTTTGGGGCCTCCTCAATTGAGGGTTTAGGAGGCGGGCAGATTGGCCTATCTAGAGGCTCAAATTGGGTACTTTCTCTTAGGTATTCACACGATGCATCCAGAATGTGCAACATCTCCTCAACCTCTTCTTCAAGTTCCAAGTGATTGAAAAACATCAATGCCTTTTCTAGTGCATCTTTATTAAACGCCCTTGGCTCTAAGGCTAGTTCATTTATCTCCACCCCCAAAATCATGGCCAGGTCCTTGTAATGACGAGGCAACTGAATGGAACGGTATACATTGAAGACTGCTTCTTTATTGTCCACCATCAGGATCATTTTACCTTCTCGAACATTGATAATTGCATCTCCAGTGGCCAAAAGAGGTCGTCCCAAGATGATAGGAGCCAACTCATCAGCCACATAATCTAGGATGATAAAATCTGCAGGAAAAATAAACTTCCCAATCTGCAGTAAGACGTCCTCAATTACTCCCCCAGGATAAACATAAGATCTATCAGCTAACTGTAGCATCACGTGGTGGGTCTCGGAGCTCCTAAGCCCAATTGTTTGAACACTGATAACGACATCAGATTGATACTTGCACCCAAATCATACAATGCTCTACCCACATCAAATTCACCAATCCTTACGGGGATGGTAAAACTACCCGGATCCTTAAGCTTTTGTGGAAGCTTATGTTGAATCCTGGAAGTGCACTCCTCAGTAAGTGCTACGGTCTCAAACTCAGTTAACCTCCTTTTATTTGCCAATATGTCCTTGATATATTTTGCATATTTTGGGACCTCACGGAGCATGTCCACCAAAGGGATGTTCAAATGTATCTGCTTCAGCATATTTAGGAATTTGTAAAACATGTGGTCATCATTCTTCTTTCTCAATCTTTGAGGAAAGGGGGTGGCACCCTCTCTGATTTTTGCTCAGGCTCTGTTTTGTTTCTCTCATCTACCTCTACAGGTTTTGGCACTCTTTCTTCTTCGAGCCTAGATTGCTCCTTTTTCTTCTTAGGCACTTCTACCAACTCTCTCCCAATTGTCACCGTCACTTCATTGACTTGAGGATTTTTCTCTGTATCACTTGGAAGAGCTCGAGAAGGTCTACTATTCTAATTGTTAGCCATCTGCCCAAACTGCCTCTCTAGATTTCTGAATTCTGTGCGCAATTGCTGATTGTCTATCAAGAGCTTTTTTATCATGTCAGTCAAACTCTCCTCTGCTTGCTGTGGGGGTTGAGGCGGACGATTGTAATTCGCCTGAGGCCTGAAATTCTGATTTCCACCCCAAGAGAAGTTAAGATGATTCCTCCAGTTTGGATTGTATGTGTTACATATTGAGCATTTTGATTCATCGGGCCTCTAGCTTGTTGCCCCACGTAGTAGATGGATACAAGATTTATGGGACATATGTCACTTGTGTGACATTCACCACATAACTCACAACAAGTAGACATCTGTTGCACATGTTCCATTTGTTGTGCTTGGTTCATTGTCATTTTATTCATCTGATTCGCTAGTCTTGCTATATCTGCCCTCATTGTTGAGAAGTCATCAGGCTCGATCAAACCTGCTGCCTTTTGTTTAAGTGCTCATCGTGGTTCCCCATCTCCTTGCCAATTATCATCATTAGCAGTGAAATTATTTTGCAGGATCTGGATCTCACTATACAGTCTTGCCATGCAACTACCCCCACATGCTAAGTCAAGATTCATCTTTGATGCCTCATCCAACCCATCAACAAAAGTGTGACCCAACACCTCATCAGTCTGACAATGGTGTGGGCAGTCTCTGAGTAGCTTCTTGTATCTTTTCCAAGCTTGTCGAAGAGTCTCGCTATCTCGTTGTTGAAACCCAAGAATCTGGCTCCTCAGCGACTTTGTCTTCTTCGTGGGAAAAAACTTGATTAAGAATTTTCTTGCTAGATCATCCCAATTGTGGATTGAGTTCGCAGACTTCTTTTGCAACCATTCCTTAGCTTCTCCCAACAGTGAAAAGGGAAACAATGTCAGCCAGACACAATCCTTGGAAACGTTCGGATAATTGTACGTGTCTGTAATTTCCAAGAAGTTCTGAAAGTGCCTCTACGGGTCTTCATGAGATAACCCAACATATTGCCCTGTGGATTGAATTAGCTGTAACATGTATTGTTTGAGTTCAAAGCGACCCGTGATGTCAGGCTTCACAATCGCCTAAGTCATAAGAGCTAGATTGGGCCTTGCAACTTCTATCACCGGACGCTCTTCATTACCTGCTATCTCTATTGGCAATGGTTGAACTACGATGTCCAACTCTTTTTCAATTCTAGTTCTAGCTTCAACTTCCCTCCTCACTCAATGAAGTGTTTGTTCTTTTTCAGGATCAAGAGGAGGGAGATTATTTGCACTTCTACTCCTCCGCATTCAAGAGAAGAGCCTGCCTTATCACAAATAAAGCAAACTAAAAATTAAAACTTGAACAAATAACGAATAACAGCTTAACTCAACTAAACAATCAATAACTAAGTCCGCGGCAACGGCGCCAAAAACTTGTTGGTTCCAAACACACACGCAAGTATACGTGGTCGTCATGTAATAAAGTGACTCGCAAGTTGGATGTCGAACCCACAGAGACTTAGATTGATCGTTAACTAAGTAAACTAAAATCAATTAATTATACAAGATATTTAAGAGTGATATTTTTCTATTAATCTACTATTGCGAAAATTAAACAAATAAAAACTAAATTATCAAGAATGCAATTTTGTATGACGAGATTTTACTTCAGAGGAGATGGAAATTACATAGTTGTGGTTGGTTTATCAATCCTATTAAGTTCAATAATCACACTCGTTAAATCCAGATTATCTATGGTTGCTAATTAACCGGATCTTTTATATGAATAGCATGTTCCCACAATACTACTCGCCTGCCCAAAATATATCAGCCCTATATTCCTATGGTATTAAGTCTATCATGAACGCATATAATACGGTATTTAATTAAGCAAGACTGTTAGGTATATTCATATCCTAACCGCGAAATCTTCCCCCGAGCCACGGGTTCAGAAACAAGCTCTCTCTAATTCTACTCTAATCTAAACACGACTTTCCCAAGCATAACATAGATAGTAAATAGAACTCAACTGCTGGCCAGACAATTAAGCAATTATGCACAGAATTAGAGAAACAACCACAAGATGGTAATCCGAATTAACGAAGATGTAATTAATAAACGTTAATAATCATGTCAACCACAACCCTATAACGTAGAGTGCTTAGTCACTCATGGTCATAATAACAAATTTTCAAGTATTTTGCATAAACAAATTACAAAGAATAGAAAAAGGGATGAAGAACTCTATGATTTTCTCCTCTGAAAGTTATCCGCGTGATGTCCTTGCTTCCGGTTGCAAAACTCCCTCCAAAGTTGCGTTTTTAGGTCTACTAATATGTATAGGAAAAGACCTAAACGTGTAGCTCAAGTCCTAGTCAAACCAGGAGACGAAATAAAGCTTCAAAACTCGAAATGGACCTGGCCCCAGGCCTGGCGTCGCCAGCCTAATGCCAGCTTCAGCTTGGCCTTATCCTTGCAGCGCCAGCCTCAGCTTGGCCTTTGCCTTGCAGCGCCAGCCTAACGCCAGCTTCAGCCTGGCCTTTGGCTGGCCTCACCAAGCTAAAGCCTGGTTAAGCTGGCCTTTGCCTGGCCTCGCCAGGTCTCTCCTTTTCACTGTTCTCGAGCACACGTTCAACGTTTAAGTATCCCTTTTGCTCTACTTTCATCTCCAATTCACCTACACATAAGAATTAAGATAGACTCCATTACGCGCAAATAAAGTGTAATTTATCATTAAAGTATGTAAAATGCAAGGCACATATGCTAAACCAAGAACTATAGCCACACATCAAAGTTCAAATTCCAAATATCTTTTTTCAACTTAACTTCAAATACTACTGTTTTTTTAAAAACTACAATTTTTATGTCCAAACGCCTACCTAATGGATGAATATAGATTTCAATAGAGAAGAAAATCTTGAGTAATTTGTCAGTACTATTGTATATATATTATCATCAACTTTAAGCATAGGAGAGTACGGAAGCTTTTTGGCAAAATCTGAATACAAACTTACAAAAGAATCACTTCTTACCGTATGTGTTCTCTCCATCATGAGAAATTGGGACAAGAAACTCTAAACTCGTGATCCATTATTGTGTTCATTGTTTGAATACCACATTGCTGTCATTTTGTGAGAGACTGAGAGTGTATGAGACAAGAAATATGGGACATGACTACTGTACACAAAGTGACTTGTGATATCGTAGTATCTGTCAATTGTTTGGATTTTGGACACTAGAGGTAATTAAGAAAAATAATGATGCCGTCATTATATATAGTTCTGATTCACCTAAAACAGAAAGTCCACTGTTAGTTCGATAGCTCAATTTGCTCCATTGAATATTACGGAGCAGATTTTTTGTTGAGTATGTGAACAAACAAACTACGTACAAGACACAAAAACAAGAAAATGCTAATATTAATTTCTTTTTCCAAGAAGGAATTGTTAATTTACGTACGGAGTAGTAAACAATTAGTAGAAGTTTATAGTCAATAAGATTGTGAATGTGCCATTTTAATTTTCTTATTATGGATTCAATTGTGACTTAGTTTCTCTTGTCATGATTAAATTATGGGCTTTTTCTTTGATTATGGTTTAGTTTTATTTCGCTTGTACTTGGGATAGAACGAAAAAAATCTAAAATGATCCTAAGTAAGTAATATTTACTACCGGACATGATCCACAATTTCGATTTTAAACTAGACAAGAACGAGGACACTCCAATTATTTATAATTTTACTATATTAAGGAAAAGGAAGCTCAAAGGAACTGTTACATTCACGTGTTCCATTTCCGGTCAACGACAACAACTTCAATTTTTTCTACTACTACATAAGTACATTAAGGAACTAAGGTAGACGTACGGGAAACCGAGAGAAAAAGAGAGATAGTATAAGAGCCGAGAATTGGTATCATTAAGTTATACTCATGTTGGTAATTGGTATCATTAATTAATTAATCTTTGGTTTCAACTTTCAACAACAACAGTAGATAGGTTAGAAACTTTTACTTATCGGCTAAACTAGGTATATAGGTAAAAATATTCTGTAATAATCCAATGTACTTTAATGGTTTTGTTTTTTGACTTTGTTTGATCACATGGAGATGTTGTATTGAGTGGCCTAATTTCCTTTCCGCTGGACTTACTTCTCCAAACAAACAATACATATAAGAATAGAGAAGTTTGGTAGAGGAGAGTCTGAGAGATGCAAAGAAAACAAAAATAACCCAGTAAAATCTTATTACGTCGAGTCTGGGGAGGGTAGAGTATACGCAGACCTTATCCTTATATCGAAGGAGTAGAGAGGATGTTTCCGGAAGACCCTCAACTCAAAAGGCGAACAAAGATAATAGATCCTTATAGGCAGCCGCAACGAGAGAGTCCGAGAGATGATGAGTATAAAATGAAAATAAACAAACTAAGTGATCAGGTGCAGCTCACAATTAATTTCATTAAAATTTCCTTAGCTGTCTGTTTTTGCTTAAAAGATACTAATTACTTTATAAGCGAAAAACAATCAAAATAAATCACAGGTAAATCGTGATCGAATATAATAAGACCTGGAAGTTTGTATTATGCTTGTGATTGTTTCAGCAACTTGGATATTCGAGAGAGTAAGAGAAGGCTTGTTTAGAGAGAGAGAGAGATAGAAAGAAAGATAGCTTATTATTGAAAGATCTCCTGCCTTTTACAACATTGGGATTCTCCTTTATATAATAAGAGAACCCCCTCAAAAATAATAAAATAA